AGAGGAGGGAGTAAGGCGATGTTAAAATATTATGTAATCTGTTATGAATTAGGTTTTTGGTGTGAAGAAGTCACGGGGGGATGGGTGGCGAGGGGGGGTTAGAGAGGAGGAGGGGAAGGAAAAAAGGGGGAAAAATTTGTATCTGAAAACTTTTTCAATAAAAAAAAAAAAAGACTTGAATTCACAGTCTTCTATCTTCTAGCCTGCTGCGTTAACCCCTAAGACCGAACTGACTCTTTTTAGTGTTACATTCCATAGGAGAAGCTTCTATGATATTAATACAAGTAACATTTGTTAAGCCACTTTAAATTAATTAAATTCATTAATCAAGCAAAAATATCGTGAAATGCTGATTCACAACAGCCAAGAATGACAAACTCACTGTACAATAGTAAGAAAAAGCAACCCACCATTTTACTATTCTATTTAGCAGTGAATAAGAATGTATGTCTTTGAAGTTAATATGTACTGCTTCTTAAAAACTTGAACACCTGGTTTTATAGTTGTAGAATGGTTTTGGCACTAATATTAAAATTGGCAAGGAAGCTATACCAGTTCCCGTGAGAAATTAGAACTAAGTAAATATTTTCCTTATCAATTGTCTGTTACCTATGGAATTTTGCTTGCAAAAGTCTCATGAATTCATTTATGACAATGGACAGTAAAGTTTGAGTTTGAATGGCAACTATTTTTCTCAGTGATCAATCCAAAATTAAGAAAGTGGTTGTAACCTTTCTTAGAGGGTTCTTAGAATAAATTGTAATGTAAAACTTTATAACATAGTATTTTTAATCAGGATACTGACACATTTCCCATTTTGTCTTCTCTGAAGTCTTTTCTTTCCTGGTGCAATATATCTTGGGACTTGAACTGCTTTATCACATTGGTGATAGGGCAATGCTTTGATTCCTTCTCTAATGTAAATTTCCAGCAAGTTTGTTACCATTGATTCCTGTTTTTCCTTTTCTTGGTCAACCTGAAAGCCAGTTGACAAATAGCTTCAATAATTTATAACAATTTTACATTTTAGATGTTTTGTGATCAGTTTGTTTTTCAGTTTTGCCAAACTGATGGTGCTTGATTTCTCAGTTATTACCAATCCTTGATTTGTAATGCCAATAGAATTGGCAGTATTTGAAGTTTTTATTGAAATTTATCTTATTTATCTCTGTAATTCTTATTTATGAGTTGAGGATCTAGTTTAGGACTGCCGCCACCGCCAAAATGCTTGTGTAAAACAACAGACTCCTTTAAGAGTGGGGAAGGTGTATTACTCAAGACCTAGAAAGTGGGTAATTGGGTCAAGTATTTTTAAGGACCATTGAGCTGTTTCACTACAGATGAAAGGAAAATGAAAATACCTTAAATATTTACAGTCATTTATATTGTGCCTTTTTTAGGTACGTGCATAAGAATGTTTAAGAACAGTTTAGAACCACAACATAACATAATGCTTTTATTTAGGAAAATAACAATTTTAATCAAATAGAAACTTTTGAACAAGCTATGCTCTAACCATGGGAGTAAGCTACACTGAATTCATTCAAATTTTTGAATAAATGTATATGGGATCACACTATTAGCAAGCAGAAATTTGGCAGAATCGAAATGTCTTAATTAACCAGTAAATGAATTTGGAGTGCTCAAAACTACATAGAATAAACCATTCTTGCCTGTGTGTTTTTTTTAGACTTTTTACTGCTATACAAAAAATTAGAGTTAGAGTTATTTATTTATTGTAGCCTAGTATCAGCATCTGGGATTGTGAAGTATTAGCTTTTTCAAAATTATCTTGTAGAAAATTACATTATATTATTTTATATTTTATTTATAGATTTCAGAATTTGTAAAAGCCTTCCAAAATATCTAGTTGTTTATTTATGCAACTCTCAGCTTGACTGTTTTTTTTTAAACTTATTATTCAGTCCAAGGGGCTCACATTTAAATGTTCTACATAAACTAATATAACTTAAGCATGCATTGCTATATTTAATCATTGTAAAATTCCAAGGCAGAAATATAGTACTGATGGATTAGTTTCGACTTACAGCATTATTCAGTATAATTGGCCAATTACAATGAGTGTGAGTGGTCAGCAGAGTAATTGATACTTATGGTGGTGGTAAGAAAGAACACATTTTCTTTAATCCTGGTAAAAGAACATGGCACTAGTGAAAAAAATGTGTATGAATCTATATTGATTGCAGAATGCTATTCGCCTTAGAAAGAATAAGAAATTTCTTAGTGCTTCTCTCCACACAGACAGTATAATTTTAATCTATGGATTTAAGGTATTATAAATCATTTTAACATTGTGCAGACTTGCTTCTTATTATCAAGAGCTGAATAATGCAAAGGAGGTGTGAATATTTCCCAAATGTGTACATAAATTACCAGATGTAACACTAAACCTAAGTTGAGGCAGCAATGCAAACCTATAGCCCCAAGGTTACATAAGGCCTTCTGAAGTTTAGGGAATGCCTTCCAGCCAAACTGTAATTTTTAACGTGATGGAATGGGGAAATTATTAAATACATGGAGTGTTATCACATAAATTAATATCATTTTTGACTTGGCCTTACCCACTTCTTAGTCCTGTCCCTGTCCAGAATGCAGTTTCTAGCATTCCTTCAAGGGGCAAGTACTATATACAGAGCAAGTACTATACAGAGCCTTGGTACTACAGTGGTTTAAAGCACCCTGTTATTAACACAGCTGCCTGCAATTTACTGCTGGTTCGAATCTCTCCAAGGCTCAAGGTTGACTCAGCCTTCCATCCTTTCTAAGGTAGGTTAAATGAGGACCCAGTTTGTGGGGGCAATAAGCTGACTTTGTATAAATATACAAAAGTATGAAGGCTATTGCTTATTGCTTAACGCACTGTAAGCCGCCCTGAGTCTCCGGAGAAGGGCGGCATATAAATCAAATTAAATAAAAATAAATAAATAAATATATTCCCTAGGGTGGAAAATGTTTACAATTTTGATTTAAGGAACAGGGACAGGGAGGACATTTGGCCAGAAATGTCTGTGACTCTCATGAACATTTTGATACTTTGAGGATGTGAAGGCAATTAAGTGACTGGATTACTGGATAAAGCCCAGGTAGTTGAGACTTTACAATGAATATGCTCTGACACAGACAACCAATCTGTACTAATTTTTTTAGAACTTTAACAATGATTACAGCTCAATGTCTTATTTTTCTGTCAACACTTATCTTTGCAATGTCATTTAGTGGAGAGCTTTTTTAAAGTGATGGACAGCCTCTTTTGTGTACAATCTGAGGGTACAAGATCTGGTATCTTTGCTTATTGTGACCAATTTGCTGGACATTTTTTATGGATAAAATATTCTTACCAAGTTGACTAAATATTTTTGACTGTCAGTGATAGGTGATATATTAGGATACTTTTTTTAAAAAAAAAAAAAACCCTTTATATAAAAATATGTGCAAACCTGTGCAAATATTCAAGCTGATTAGAGTTATTCCAAAGAGAACATCATACACCTGTGATAGGTGTTTCTAATTCACCCTGTTCTAGGTAAAAAAAATTCAAAGAAGCTGTGCCCCCATTATATCTTATAGTGTAAATGTGCCATTGCACAACTGCATTAGAAAAGAGAAAAATAATAATTTTAATTCTTATATAAAATGCTACCAGACAAATCTATCTTCAAATCAGAGTGGTATTTGTGAGTAGATCGGAGTGATCTTTACAAACAGTCCACCATTAATTATTCCAACATTGGGAGTTTGGAGGAAGCTGTGAAAATGGTTGCTAAGAGCTGAAGATGAAAGTCAAAAATTCAATATGAATGCCTATGCTGAACTTAATGCTGTTATTTACAGTCTCTGTTGCTAATTTATGTGATTTATTCTTATAGATAATTTTATGATGGTCGGTATTATGAGCCAGTTTGAGAGATCTGAATCTTATAAAAGTCAGTTGTAAATTATTTTAAAAAACGATCAGTTAGACTGTTCTTTTTCTCAAGGCAACTTATATCAACAATATTGGTTGATTGCTATTCTCAATTATCTTCTGAGTTACTTGATACCATTGGGAGCTGTGATCAAAGCAAAGCTTCTGAAGAAGCACATGAAATATTTTTTCAATAGTTTTGTTCATGTAGTAGTAATGTTCTATTTATCATGCATACTAGGAATGACTGAAATTGAAGGACACCCACAGGCACTATATAAAAGAAGTCTGTGTAGTCATCTGTGTTCCTTACTTCACAGAAGCAACAGATGAACTAATGTGTCTTATCTTATTATGTCTTAGAGGCACATAAAAATCTTCAGAGTGCAAAAAAAGCTTTCATTTATTTCAAATTAATGTTATGACAAATTTCAGCAGTTTCTATTTACCGCTTTTGCTCTTATCTAAATTACTTTCCTTGCTTTCTCCACCCTTCCAACATCCCTTTCCTATTTATTTATACCTGGCTCTCAAGAAAATAATGCTATTTGTTAAGGCTCAACAGCTACAGAACCTCATTTCCATATCGCAGATAAAAATGTTTAAAAAGCAATGCACGCATTTTAAATACTCCTTCATAGCTTCCTTTTGATTGTGTAATGCACCACTTTATTCCCTGTGTATTTAGGATTAAAGAGCACCACTCTTCCATCTGTGAACGCCTTTAAGTCACCGCTTTTGTCCATTCAAGTGAAGGATGGATCAAAGAGCCATCCTTCACTTGAATCCTTCTTTATGGGGAAGTGACGTATTCCATAAATCCTCTTTTTAAAGATTAATAAAAAGCAAGCAATGTCTTTCCCCATATTTCGGCAGTCTCTTCCTCAGCCCACAGGGGCAGCGGGAAATCCTCTTCGCCCCGCTGGGGCATCTGTGACCAACCGTCCCCTGGCAGGTTGTAACACTGGCCACCAGAGGGCGCGCGCGCGCACCCACCGTAGCCATGGTTACCGCTGGGTGCGTAGTGGGGTTTACGAAGCTGACGCAGTGGGCGGCCCGGCACAGGCGGAGGCGGCCCTGGCACAGGCGGAGGCGGCGTTGAAGAGCTGCGGGGCTGAGAAGCCCCGGCATGGAGGCGGCGGCAGCAGTGGCTCTGGCCCGGTGGCGGCGGCGCCGGAGGCGGCGGCAAAAAGGTGAGCGGATGCGGGGATTGGCGCGGCTCGAGGACGGCGGGGGGGGGGGGGTGGAACGGGGGGGGTGGTGGCGGTCCATGCAGGGCGGATGCCCACTTCTCGCTGCGGGTGAAAGAGCCGCCGCGCACCTCTTGGCGGGAGGAGGAGGAGGAGGCAGGGCGGGCGGACGGGCGGGCGGGCGGACGGGGTGGGGCTGGAGACGGAGAAAGCCGCGAGGCCGAGGCCGCTCTGGCGCGGGAGCGAGCGAGCGAGCTAGTGCAGAGGCGTTGGTGCCCTGGCATATGGCAGCACGGGCGCGCGCTCAGGGAAGGCAGGGGTGGGAAAAGCGCGCGCCCCTTTCTCCCCCCACCGCCCGCCCGCCAACCGGCAGCCCCGCCGCCAGAGGTGGAGGGCCTGGTTGCCAAGGGGAACGGAGAAGCATCCCTCCTCCCCCGGCACCAGCAGCGTGGGAGCTGGACGGTAAGCAGGCAAGCGATCCTGTCGCTCTCGTGCCCAAGCAGGTGCCTCTGCTTCTGCTGCTCCCCTCCCCGCCTCTCCCCTTGCCAAACCCGGGTATATGGTGGAAGAGGTAGGGTGGGAAGGAAGGAAGGAAGGAAGGAAGGAAGGAAGGAAGGAAGGGAGGGAGGGAGGGAGGGTGGGTTGCTCTCCTGGGAACTGGTGGCAGGGGCTTTTCCTATGTCGCCTTGGATAGTTTTTCACCCCCTCTTCCTCTCCATCTCTCTGCCTGCTCTGCACCCTTTTCCCAAGAAATCGGTAGAATCAGGGTGGTGTGGCCTGTGGAGGGATTAATCTGCCGGGAGTTGGAAGTGTTGGGTAAGGAGGGATGGTTACAGTATGGAACTGCAGTGTAGCAAGCTGAAATTGGTTCTTGGGTATCCTTCCAATGCTTGTGGAAAAGGGAGTTGACAAAAGCTTAAGTGTTCCTAATACCATGGAGGGTGATGGGTGGATTTAAAGTAGAGAGGTTCCCTCCCCTCCCCCCACCCACCCACCCAGTTGATGAATCTGTGCATGATGGTGTTTTATGTGGAAATTAATAGTCTGGATCCATAACCAAATGACGTGGGCTGACATAAACATTTACTTTGCAGAAAAACTGAAGTTCTTTCTATAAACCTAAGCAGATGGGAAAATAATGGATCTTTCATCTTTGAAGGTTGTTTCTGCAAGGAGATGCTTCTATCGTGCAATTTTTGATAGCGTCCATTAAAAGTTTTTTGTGTGTGTGTGTGTGGCATGTAAATTGAAATAAAGGACATCTTGCCTTATGATTTGAAATTGCTCAAGAGATTGTAGCCATGTTGGTTTGGAATGCGATAAGTACCTGATACTTGTATTTTGATTATTGCCCAGGGTTCCACTTTTAGAAGGGAAGAAGACAAAAGTGGAAAAAGACAACATTAGAAATAAATTGCCTCCAAAGATTTCTAATTCTAAAAATTAATTTATTATTTGAGTGATTAAGGTTTATTAAAGGTTTATATGTTTATTAAAAGGATATATAAAATTATGGATTAAAAGGATAGATAAAAATTATGGATCAGTGAAGAGAGCTTTTAAAAAGGATAATCATTTCATGGCTGTAATTCAAACCTTAGAACACAGTTTAAATGGGTGGAGTTCAGTGTACTAAATTATGTAATTTCTTTGATTATAATAGTTCTACAGAAAAGCATTGTGGAGATAGTTAATTTCTCTAGAAGTGTAAACACATACTGTTTGCATGAGCCTAGGCTCAGATGTGGCCTCCTCTCTTGGGTGAATGATTTAAAACTAGTGATCAATTTTAGAACTAGGTTCTTATAGTTTTATTCTTCTGTACAATTATATCATCATTAATAGATGCCTCCTTACTACTTGTAATAAATACTGTGCAAGTGAAAAAGAACATTAGGTACTTTTTCCAAGGCTTGAAAATGTTGTATTGCTTTTGTCTCTAACAAAAGTCAGTTTTGTGTTGTCATTGTCAATAGAATCAAAAAATTGTGTGGGGTTTTGTGTTAAAGGAGCTGGGTAATCAGATTTCTACCATTCTTTAAAAATTCATATTCCTGAATGAAATTGCTTTCAGAATTGATGACAAAATTAGAGCTAACTAATCTATTGTGTATAGGCTTCTCATGTTTTGAAATTTCGAATCCCCTGAATGATAAAATGATGAGTCGACATTTTCAGCTGTAGTTTAAAGCTTACCTGGACTGTTTTATTACTATACTGAACAGGAGTTTAAATTATAAAAATGAAAAAGATCAAAGACAAGGATAAATTCATGTATATATGGGGCTTCTCACATATGTATATATGTAAATAACACTTTACACAATCCTTTTAGTAAAGGATTACCATATTCATTTTAAGTATACATACATAATCTATACCTGTCCATTAGTTGCAAGTAACATCAGATTTTCAATCCACTGATAGAAAATGCCATATAATTATCTTTTAAATATTGAAGAATAGGTCTTTTAGAAATAAGAAGGACACAGTATATCCATTTCTGTTCTCCGGCTATCAATTAGCATGTAATCATTGTAAAAAATGGTTGAAAATTAACTTGACCTCCCTTTGTAAGTGTATCCATTAGCAATACTTCCACATCTCTGATCATGTCTTTTCCTAAAGACAGTAACTCCAAAAACAAATTAACAAATTGCATTATATATTCATCACAATGGACTCAAAAAGGGAACAATTGTTCTAAAAGTATTTCTGAATATATACCTTTCAATCTGTATTAAAACTAAGTCTGTATATAGAAGATTCTCATACAGGTAGGTTTCAGCCATAAAGCCAGTCACTCAATTAATTAGAGCTACTTTCCCAATCTGAGGTTCTCCAGAAATGTTGAGAGAGCAGTCCTTCATTTCTCAGTTCATGTATCATGTGCATCACATTGGTGAAATCTGCATTAGAAAGTTATGACAATGGTGTAACTTTTAATCAGATAAATATATATTTTAATGAGTTTAAAATAAATCTGATAATGTTTAAAACAGAATTTTTATAGCTATTATGCCTTATAGAAAAGGAAATTTGAGACAACTTTTTGTATAAAGATTTTTATACTAATTCTATATTGATTTTAAAATACAGAATATTTTCTAGGAAATATTTTTTTCTTTAAAAGGATTTTCCTTTGAAATATTATATTATTAACTTTTAGCATTCCTGACCTTCACAGAGGAGCTTTTTTTTCTTCTTGGCAATCTCACTTTCATAAAACAAAAATTAAATGCCATAATAGTGTGCAAAATCTGTTTATTGCAGTAGAAACTATGGCAATGTCTTTTCCTGCCTTAAATATTAATGGTTTCTGTTTGGATTCAAAAAGAAGGACTCTCACAATATGTCTTATGGAGGCATAAGTGTATACATTTCCCTGGTTTGTATAGGTTGCTAAACTGTTATTCTTTCTGGGGCTGGCTTGGAGGAGGAAAGTGAAAGTATTTACTTCTGTTTTCAACTGCTGTTTGTTATGACATCCAAACTGAGAACTACAGTAATTATCAAGTGTGATTTATATCCAAACAAATCAGGTTCATTAACTGTAGCTTGAAGTTATCTTTTAGGCAAACTACCGTCAAATTATTTCCTCTCCCCCCAGTTACTGTGGTTATATTCACATAACATTTAAAAACCATGACTGGTCCACTAAGTAAGCCAAATTAAGTTACACAGCCATAAGCCATATTTACTGACTGCATTGCATGGTTCACATACGGTAAGTAGTACATGTAAAGTAGAAGCAATTATTCTTTCTCTATTTTCTTTGCTTCTAAGTACAGTAGTATTGCCCTGTACATATAAAAAAAAAACTAGTAGCAGAGACACTCTTACCCTCTCTCATTTCTGCTAGGAAGCTTAGATTCTGCGTGTGCAGATTAGCATGCGATATGAGTCAATGGTTAAAACATTGATTTGCTTGAAAATGATACAAGATACTGTACTTCGATTAAATTGAGTTATTCTAATCCTCCCCCTGGGTTCAGATGCTATGTTAAACTTAAATTACAAAATGACTATATTTTGTGTAAAGATGCATAACTCCATACAAAGATTGGTTAAAAATGAAAGCATTTCAGAGTATCTTTATTGCTGTGCTGAAAAAGAATTAAACAGAGAGGACATACACTGGCCTAGAGCATTAGTTGTAAGGCTAACATGCTCATGCTCAAATTAATGCCAGTCAATTTGTTCTTTAAGTGATCATGTTTGCAGGGTTGGTTTGGAGTCAGACCAGAGTGGGGTCTGTGGAAATTTGTATACCCTCTAAATTTTATCTGTACAGCTACATTTTGTTATCTTGAAAAGCCTATCCCTGAAAAAGATTTTTCTTGATTTTTTTTCCCAATGTTCCCCTGAACTTTTGCTCCAGTTTAGTTGATTTCAGAAACTTTCTGGGGAAAGACAGCATGAAATCACTTCTCTATTGGCAAAGAAGTAACAGAAATGTATCATTGGAGTCATCAGAAGTCAAGCTTAACTTGAAGATGACATTATCTTACGTTTTGTAGGCCTGATCAGTTGGAAAAATGACATTATGTGTCATTGATGGAAAGATGAGACTTCAAAAACTTTTTATCATGCAAGAATTTATGTTGTGTTGTTATACTTTATACAATACCAGTATTCTTTTACAGACTCTGTTCATTTATTTTCAGCATTATTGTGGTATTCTCTGTTTTTAATATAGAATTCATAAAAGATGGCATGTTCTTATTTTCAATTTTTATGTATAACAGTAGCCCTGTGAAGCACATTAGAGTGAAAGAATAGTAACTGTCCAAACTTTGTCCCATAAGTATCCATGGTTAAAAATGGATTTGAATATAGGTCTTCCTGTTCCAAGTTAACCTAGTTTAGTTAGAAAATTTAAGTGCTGATAGTCTGATAATATAGTTCTCTGCTGCATTCAAAAATGGATTTTTAAGATTTTGCAGGAGACCTATTTCCTACCAATTAGGTGCCATCAATCATTTCATAAAGCTGGCATCTGA